GTGCCCCAGGATGACATCGGTGTCGCTCTTGCACACGTAAATGTAAAGTTGCCAAATGGGCCGGCAGTAAAGTCACAACTTCTGCCGGGTCTGTGCCTTTAAGTCTCGACAGCAGAAGTTTCCGCATGCTGACGTCATGTTGGTTTTTGACTAAGCTAATAAACAACAAGGTCTGTTATTCACGCAGAAAATGAGGACCGCTACGCGCTAAGGCCCAAGATATAAGGTTCCGTGCGAGAATCATATCTTTGAATGTGCCGCATTACATATGCATGCGGAATTATAGTAGCATTTGATTGCGATTTGGGGTTTACGTGACTTTCAAGGAGAAACCTGTTCACGTCAGCGTTTTTGCATTCCATCAGTTCTATGGGGCAACTTTTATATCAGTACCATTTATCCAACTCCTTATGCTCGAGTTCACTTTCCGTTGCGTAAAATCTATGAATCCTGTCGAAGTAATGCGAATGCAGTTGCCTAGTACAAACTGCGGTGACTCATTCTTGTTTAGAGCAAATGTTCCTGAGCGCTGACGTCATGAGTGGGGTTCAAATGTTTTATGAGCAATAAAATTCAAATAAAATTATTTTAGGTACGTGGAGTACATCACTGTGATTGCCTGAAAAGTCCATCGATTGATGCGCCAGCGGAGCTTCAAGGAAGGTTTGATGTGAGTTCACCATCTTCGTTTTGTACTTTCTGTTGCTTAGTTTAGCCCGTTTTGAGCACTGAAATTGATGATCTCCTGTTCAGGTTGTCGTCACGATTTTCTGCGTGGAATACTGTTGTAAAACGTACGAAGAATATAAGAAAGCCATCAAAAACGTGGCGGATCAGATAGCTCCAGGAGGTATGTGGAAGTAAATGATAAGCAGCATTGTTTGATCGACCGCTTTTTGAGTTCGCCATGCATTTTGCTCCCATCCTGAGTTGTCTTTTATTTGTCTTCTAGAACAACTTGTGGAGCAAATCCACACATGAGTTGGTGCTTTTGCCCTCCAAGGAATCTCTTGTTCCAAATCGACCTTAATCATAATCCTCTACGGAAGAAATCTGTTGAAACCAGCATTTCATGAAATTAAATTACTCGCTTATATAGCTAGAAAGAAGTAACTAGAAATTGCTATTTATGGGCTGCTGGTTGAGGGGGGGGGTAGCCAGTCGGCTTACCTCTAGATATAGCGTAGCTGGCTGGTTTTCCTTCGGAGTACTTAGCTACTTAGTGTCAAACTAGTGGCTAGAGTGTTAACGTCGTATTCCGTCAAAGCAAAACCCCAGATCTGATTCGTGGAGTCACAGCACTTGATAATGAAGTTATGGATGCTATTTGACTAAAAATGAAAAAGAAGCAAAGAAAACCGTCGATGAAGCCCAAAACAAATTCCCCTTGAAAAGGAAGGGGCGGGGCCGGACGAGTTGTACGAACTTGCCTGCTCCACGGCTCAACTAACCCGCGCGTATTTGAATTAGCCGCCACGCTACGTATCATGGGACGTGTGCGTCATAACTCGTCCAAATGCTAAGATTAGTCGCCAAATGCTGACTTTGTAAGACCCTAGCGCCTATTGTCGCGCACTTTCAAGCCGCGACAACGGCACATCTGTGCTATTCATGGGCTACTCTATCCCACCATGAATAGATTCTTCGACACGGCTTCTGCTGGGGTTGCTTCAAATACACGGACTGGATCAATTCGGACAATCTGTCCGCTCCGTGTGCGCTATGAGCAATGTCCATCACTAGGGAAGTCCGAATTCATGGAAATAGCAAATGAGAAATAAATGGAAGAAATTTCCAATATAAGTTTTCCTACGTTCGTCTAAGGTGACGACGAATGGTTGGGTACGGCCAAAACTGAGCGCGTGGCGTCACACACACTACCGCTATTGCAGCACGGTGGACCTCCTGAAACCCTATGGGCGGTTCTTGGATGGTAGCCTTTCTTTGTTTCGTCTCTTGCTCGATTGCGCCGCTTTGAGCCAGTACAATATATTAGTAGCGTTTGCTACAAAACGCGTAATGCTTATTGACGTGCATCTAGCATTCATTATGGTCCAAATAGTCAATCATGCTTCGTTGCTATAGCTTCCAGCTCTTCATTGCCGATTCGGGCTAACCGGCTCATCAATTATACGTGTTGATGTCTGACAAGCTATGGTAGTATTAATGCGAAAACTTGATGAATGATTAATGTTTCTTGTAATCGGAACTATGGTTAGCGCATTTGCCCGGAAGCGGGAGGTGCGTTCTAGTCCGGGGGCGAAATTTTTCAAACCATCCATTCTTTGTGAATAGCGAAACGATTTGGTATGGATACCTTATTCATAGCACCTTTCAACATAGGATGATCAACCTACATTGCTTTGTCAGCTTTAGATTACTTTCCATGTCTACAGTGAGGCTTTCAGGGTTCCTCGTCATGGGTGGCATTCTTGAGGAGACATGGTGTGCGTTCGGTGGCCGCGTGTTCAGTTGTCTGTACATCACAAGGAACAGATGCCTCAATGCACTTGATGAAGCCGGAGTTCGCCTGGAAAACGACCGTAAATGCATTTTATACGAAGTTAACGACATGTTCGTCATCTGTGCTCGTAAACGCCATCCTGAAAAAGTTGCGGTCTGACATCTACGTGTCCAATTTTAGAACTATCTAATGCACACATTCTACATTGTTCTTTGTACAATCTTCATGTCTCAACAACTTTCACATGTTTTCATGCTTTATATATTTCCCTGTGTTTGTGTACATACTTCTACCATTTCCTATCATTACCGGTTTTTTGAGTTGTTTTCCCTGCCCATGGCGAGACTAAAAAGTATTAGATATGACGAGGTTTAACATTCGCTTCATTGTAATTGGTATTTCTACTTTCTTGACTAGAGATTTTAATAAATTGATACTTAGTTTCCGGATGAATTTATGGAACTTCTAGTTGAAGGTCTTCCACAGACTTTATTGCTCACCCAAGGTGTGGTATTCAAGGGGTCGCGGCAAGAAGGCAGAGACAGCAGACGAGTCGCTGATCGATGTAAGACGTACTGGTGCATTCTATTTAACTTGACGCGAAATCACTACAGTACGCGCTGCGACTCGTCCGCTGACTCTGCCTTCTTGCCGCGCGACGGGCTTCCTGTCAGGTACCCGGTGTTCAAATATACAGTGACAGACATCCTGTAATGCTCCATTCGTAGCTGCTCTCAATATCTTGTGATCGATTCTCTAAAGGTGGTTGAAAACCAGCTTTTTACACTTACTATCATGCGCAGCGGCACGAAAGCTCTCCGATGGAGATAGCAATCAACGAATCCTGGTAATCCGCGTTCATAGTTCGCGACTCGGGAGATTAGGATAAGTAGGCGACAGGATATTAGGATAGTAGTAGAGTAGGAGATTGCGCTGACAAGATTGGATACGTATCGATTGAAATCGCTGGAGAGTAGTAGATTGGGCGACTTCAAGCGAATAGATCAATACATATCTAATCTTGTCAGCGCACTATCCTAATCTACTACTATCCTAATCTCCTACTCTACTACTATCCTACTATCGTAATATCGCAATCTACTACTCTCCGGCGATTTCAATCGATACGTATCTAATCTTGTCAGCGCAATCTCCTACTCTACTACTATCCTAATCTACTACTATCCTAATCTCCGTCAATACATATGTTTTTCATTGTCGCGTACTATCCTAATCTCCGGAGTCGCGAACTATGAACGCGCCGTAGGAAGTGAGGCTAAAAAACGGCAGCGATGCGAGCAGAAAATGATGAGATCAATTTCTTGCGCTTAAGAAAGAACTCTCAACAAGTTAGTGGGGATGCAGGCGCGCGCTAGGACGTCATAGTAGCGGGCAGACGCGGCCGACGGAGACAGGATAACCGTGTGGCTAAATAGCTCAACACAATACCTACTGCGAGCATTTACTGGCATCTAAATTCACGGTGGGGTAGGAGCTGGCAATTCTTGAAGATGTTAGGAAGGAATGCTGAGAAGCCGATTGTGATTGAATTTCTCTTAACACGTTGATGACGGCGTGAGGCGCTTGCGCATCCCGCTTCGAGCACAGCGTCGGCGATTGTGGCGCGATTGCGCGTCCCACCCAAGTCATCCCTTTTCTCCGCGCCTGCGCGTATTCTTCCATAATTGTTTGCATTCATGCAATAGAATCACACATAACATAACTGAGCCGATATTGGTGTCACCGTATGGTCGGATGTGCTTCAGTTTAGAGGAAGTGGTTGCGATAATTCCTTTAGAGACGATAAGGAAAGTTACGTAGTGTAGTGTATTGGGTAGGGCCCCACCCACTGAGATGATATGTGCGCTTCAGGGGCAATGGAGCCTTACCACGGCGTGATTAAGGCGCCGGAACCAATTTCCAGTTAGCAGCTGGATAGGGCTGCAATGGCAGCATACTAGATGTGATACCGTTATCGTCATCGTCAGATTTTCATCTGGAGTGCACCTTATACCAGCCGTATCTTCTTTTCATATAGGGCCGTTTGCTATCCTTCCCCTAAGCTAGATGATCGGAAAGATTCCTTCAAATTCTTTCGTTTTGAACGATGTAGTTTCTTCATTTTCTCTTTATCAGAGCAATCTCAGTTGAGAAGACAGAGAAAATCCAGAGGAATTCTCGTCCTCCAACCCCTACGAGGAGGATAGCATACGGCCTATAGTATCGTATCTTCTGGGAGGCTACCCTCGTCCATTCATTTTCTATCTCAGATCTTATCACTTGATAACGCATGGGTAGTAGCTCCACCTCGAGGCCAACACGATCGCTTCTTATAAAGGAGGATTCCACGATGAGAACGAATGTCGAAGAAGAAGAAACCTACAAAGTGGAGAGTCAGGTGGACCAATTCGCATCGAAGGACGTGCCGTCGGCCACAGTATAGGAATGTATAGCCTTTTGGCGCGATTGGCGAGGAACGCTCACCGACTATACAATCACTCACCGCAGGTCTATGGGTGGCGAGTGATCAGACAGCAGGGATAGGGCACAACGATCACAGTCGCATCAATGTGGACCTCAGTGGGCAAGGAAGGGGTCCCATTTCCCTGCATTGTATTCGTGTAGCCAGCGTAGCAACTATCGCTACGAAAGAAGCACCGAATTTGATGAGATAACAAACGCCACTTATCAGCCCTTATCAGTCATTATTACTTTGGATCACCTACAATCTGTATTCTCGTCCAGCCGCCCATATCACACGTCAGAAACAACATTCCACTGTTACTGTAAAGCGCGCGAGAGGTGGGCACGCACTGATCTTCCTTATCAGTTTTATCAATTATTATCACTTTGGATCACTCACGATCTGTGTCCCCGTCCAGTCCCCTATACCACATCTCAGGAACAATGTCCCATAATTGCTACGACGTGTGATATGAATTTCATGACACACATGCACACACAAACAGGACAGGCATGGCGTTTTACAATATACCAATTAGGCACCACTCGCTCTCGCGCATATCGAAGAAGGCTTTAGTGGAAGTGAGCACAGCCGAGCTCTTGTATTAGACAGCATGCAAGCATTCATTGCTTTTGACTGATGTATTAACGAAAGGTTTCTATAGTGCTGGTGATAAAGCAGTCATTTCCCGTAGCTCGTCAATACTCATAAACATCCATCATTTTCGGAAACTGACATTTTCTAGCGGCCGAATAAGCTTTGGGTAACTAACACAACTACTGGACTGCTTACTGTCAGCCATAACAACTACCATGGTTCGAACGCTGGGAAGGTTAGTGGTTGAATTGACTTCTGGTGGCAATGAAGTTGCAATAGAAACACCCAACTGCATATCACGTTTCCATGACCACCGACCATCTTTTGTGGAAAGGTTAGCGGTCGAAAAGATTTCGATATTGAAGACGACATCGAGATTTGAATGGAATGATTCCTCGTCGCGCATCTAGGTAACAACTAATAATACTCGGCGAGCTCAGCTAACTATCGCGTGTCCCGAGCTGCTCGTTCATCAGAGCCTGCAGCACCCCGTTTTATCGTATTGCTCTCTGCCGTCACCCCCTACCGCACGTACATGATTCCTTCATTCCCTTTGCATCATCTCTAAGGTACAGGGTTGTTCCCGTCCCGCTCCCCAACATCATATCTTACAATTGACTCCTGGTGACTGCTGGTTCGTGCCCTATGAATTTATTGACACACACAAAGCACCACACACACACAAATGGACAGACGTTAGTCCTCCGCGTAGACGGCTTCGATCGTAGGTCCTCCGGCATTATGGCGCTTATTTGAATCTCATCTGTCTGCCTTAAGCTCTGCATCAACAATGTGATAGATCTATCTTGGTTAGACTAGAGTTCTCGGCGCGGGATAGCCTTCTCAGAGGCCTGAAAGAGGTCCCGAAACAACTCTAATGATCTTCCGCGACTAAAAGTACGCAAGGACAGATATATGTTTTTATATTAGTAGGTTGCATAGGCGGAATAGCCCAGTGTTTTATACCGATGCGTAAACGTACACAGAAAGCCAAATGTGTCGGTCGTACTGGACTATCCTAACAGGCTAAGCTGGTAGCCTGGTATGCTGGTAGCCCCTGCATATAAGCTCGGCGTTGACTCCATCGTCTGCCATGACGGCTTTCTGACTTTTAGACGGTGAGTGGCAGCACGTGAATGAGCGTAAGTACTACTTGTGTGGGCTGATATGCTTGAGACGAAAAAGTTTCGTCGCAGCATCCGCGTCTCGTATGGCTTTTTTGAATTGCCATAATCGTCCCTTAGATTCCTTGGTGCCGTGTAGTGGCTGACCTCCGCCCCAAAGCGATCAAAAATTGATGCCCATGAGAGCGCGTTCAAGCTGAGACCGAGCGGTCATAGCTCGCTCGACCGTGACCAACGCGACTGGAGCGATTCCGTGCGATTCGGGCTCCATCGCTTGTCGTCGATCGGTCTTGGCCCAATCGCCTCTCCGGTCGATGCGCGATCAATGCGGGGATCTGGCACGGTCGTATGTATGCGCATGCGCTTTCGCAACGCGTGCAGCGATATCTGACGGGCGATTGGCCCCGCCCCAGTCGATGCAGTCGGCTTGCGGTATCGATCGACCAGGGACGGTAGTAAAGTGCCATAGACTGGGAGTTAAAGGTGGTGAACTACGGCCGTAAACGGTGAATAATGAAAGGCGAGACAGCCAGATGACCCCGCTCTGAATGGCGAGCTTCACTACATTCCTAGCAAAAGTCGCGTCGCCATGGACTTGAACCATGTAATGCAGCGCCCATGAGCGCGACGTTTGCCACTGCACCACAAAGCATTGCTGTGTTACATCGAAAGAATTGTAGATAGCAAGGTAGGATCCTATGAGGGTTGCAAAACATCCTGTATCATGGAGAACTGATCCCGCGAGCGATCCAATGTCAACAAGGACGAACCCACTGCGCCAATCGACGTATCTGTGACCTAGGATGCATGCCTGTATTGGCTGATCCTGTTACAGTAGGTGAATATGCTGGGGCCCTCGAGGACCGAAGATAAGGGCTTATATACACGCATCCACACTTTGTTTTGTATACACTGCGGGGGACAGCTGATCACCTTATTGGCAGAAAGTTATCAATATTATCGATAGCTCCAGT